TTAATTTACGTCAATTGAATTAAAGGATTTGTTTGCAAATATGGCAGACTTGGATAAATGGTTCATTGCCAACAGAAAGTACACAAGCAACCTTGGAGATTTTACAAGGAAAAAGTTGCATGATTCATAGCTCTTGGCTAAAGGAACTAGGTTTTTCCTTTTTGCATAAATGAAGAGCTATCAGAGTTCTGTGCAAAATATAACAACCATCTTAACAAAGGCATCTTTTCAGAAACTTAAACCTCACCATAAATTGGCCACCCAGAGTGTTTCTAAATGAAAAGAAATGTCTCCCTCCGGTATACTTTAAATACTTTAAATACTGCAGAGGAAATTTGCAATGATGATTAACAAAGAGGTGGAATGGAATATTAAAAAACTGAAACAAAAGAACTTTGAATTTGCAAATAAATCAGGAAAATGGCTTGCCTGGCAGACCAAGAAGAGGAAAGAGCAAAATACAATTAATAAAATAGAAGTGGGAGGAGAAGAGATAACTAACCCCAAAGATATTAGGAAAGGATTCTTGGATTTTTATAGACAGCTGTATAAAAGAAAAGAGAAGAATAACAGGAGGAAGATAGAGAGATACCTAAAAGAGAAAGAGGTGCAAAAGATCCCGACAGAAGCTCAGGAAGGGCTGAACACCCCAATTGACTTAGCAGAAATAAAGATGGCGATAAAGAAAATGAAAAATGGGAAAGCCCCAGGACCGGATGGGTTTACATCAAGATATTACAAAGAACTGGAAACAACCCTGTCGTTGCCATTGAGAGAGGTAATGAACAATATACTAAAGGAGAGAGAAATCCCAGGGACGTGGAAGGAAGCATTTATAACCCTTATCCCTAAAGAAGAGGCGAGCTTAACCCAAGTTAAAAATTATCGACCAATCTCATTATTAAATACGGATTATAAAATTTTCGCCGGAATAATTGCAGATAGACTGAAAAAGGTTCTACAAGAAATTATCCATGAAGACCAAGCAGGCTTCCTTCCGGGCAGGCAGATGAGAGACAATGCAAGAAATGTAATAAATATTTTAGAATATCTGACTGCCAAGAACGAGAGGGAGGCAATGCTGATGTTCGTGGATGCCGAAAAAGCGTTTGATAACGTATCATGGGATTTTATGTTAGAAAATATTGAACAGAGGGATATGGGGAACGACTTTCTCAATGGGATAAAGGCAATATACACGGAACAAAAAGCAAAGTTAATAGTAAATAATGTGATCTCGGAAGAAATACAGATTTCCAAGGGTACGAGACAGGGTTGTCCACTGTCACCACTTTTATTCATCATGGTTCTTGAGGTACTATTGGATTCAATCAGGAAAAAGGAAAGCATAAAGGGGGTGGCAGTAGGCCGAAATCAATATAAAGTTAAAGCCTTTGCCGACGATTTAGTATTGATGGCGGAGGAACCGTTGGAGACTGCAACAGAGATACTGGAAGAAATTGAAAAATTTGGAGAGGTCGCTGGGTTTATTATAAACAGGAAAAAAACCAAAATTATTGCTAAGAATATGGATAAAACAAAGATGGAAGTATTGCAACAAAAAACGGGTATAGAAATTGCAAAAAAAGTGAAATACCTGGGAATATGGCTAACCCCAAAGAACATAGATCTGTTCCAAAATAACTATGTGTTGGTGTGGAAGGGAATTAAGAAAGACTTGGAAATATGGAATAGGTTAAAACTGTCCCTCTGGGGAAGAATCTCAATGATCAAGATGTCAGTGCTACCGAAGATGATGTTTCTCTTCCAGATGATACCAATATTAAAAGGAGTGGCGATTTTCAAAGATTGGCAAAGAATGATTTCTAGATATATCTGGCAGGGCAAAAAGCCGAGAATTAAGCATAAATTACTAATTGACGCAAAAGAAAGGGGAGGTTTTGCCCTGCCAGATTTGAAGTTATACTATGAAGCAGCATGTCTTTGCTGGCTAAAAGAATGGGTAAAATTAAAAAATACAAAGCTCCTAGATCTGGAAGGATTCGACACGAGGTTTGGATGGCATGCGCATCTTTGGAAAGAAAAGAAGGAAGGTTATAAATCATTTGGAAACCATATTTTTCGTAAATCGTTACTGGAAGTATGGTACAGATACAAAAATATACTGGAAACCGGGGTTCCACATTGGTTATCCCCATTAGAAGTCATAGGTGTTAAGAAAATTAATATGAGAAATGATTGGGTTACTTATGCAGATTTGGTGGTGAAGGATGGGGGAAAGTGGAGGTTAAAACCATATGAACAAGTAAAGGAACATGTCTATGATTGGCTACACTATCGACAAATAAATGAAATGTTTAAAAAGGAAGAGAAAGAAAAAGGCTATAAAGAAAAAGATTCAAAATTCCAATCAGAAATTGTGAATAATGATTGTAAAATAATTTCGAAAATGTATAAAATTTTATTGGAATGGCATACAATGGATGAGGAAGTAAAAGTAGTTATGATTCAGTGGGCCAAAGACCTAGGTTACAATATAGATTTGGATGACTGGCAAAAAATTTGGAATGAAAATTTGAAGTTTACGGCATGTGTTACACTAAAAGAAAATACAATGAAGATGGTATACAGATGGTATATGACACCAGCAAAGTTGGCAAAAATGTACAAAAGTTCAAACAAGTGTTGGAGGTGCAGGGAAAAAGAAGGAACATTTATGCACATGTGGTGGGAATGTAGTAAAGTAAGGGGGTTCTGGGAGATGATATACATCGAGTTAAAGAGAATGCTAAAATATAGTTTTGTTAAGAAACCAGAGACATTTCTGCTGGGGATAACAAGAATGGATATAAGTAGGAGAGACAGGAAATTATTTCAGTATGCAATCACCGCAGCAAGGACATTGTTAGCTCAAAGGTGGAAACAAGAAGAGGTTCCGAATTTAGAAGAATGGAGGCTAAAATTAACAGATTACGCAGAACTGGACAAATTAACTGGAAAAATTAGATATCAAAAAGACCATAGATTTTTTGAAGACTGGGGAAAATTTACGGAGTATTTGGAAAGCATATGTGAGGAGGGTACAACGCTAGTGGGTTTTAAAGAAGCTTTGTGAAAACATAAGGAAATATGACCAGTGGGTAAATAAGAACAGAAATATATAATAAAATGGGAATATTGAAACAAAGGAATGCGAAGATAAGATTTGAACTACGAATGATTGTCAGAGAAGTTGTGGGAGGTCCAAATAAGACAAACTTTGTGATATGTATATGGATATGTTTGTTGTTCTTAATGGAAAACCTTAATAAAAACTTATTGAAAAAAAAAATAAATACTGCAGAGGAAATCCAGGGAAAATTTCAATGAAGCCTTCCAAGAAAGTGTGCTTGAAATAGTAACTAAAATGCCAGGTAAATAGTAAAACCTGATGGACTGACTTCTGAAATTATGAAGGAATTTGTGGATCTCAGAGTCAAGTAAGTTAATTTAAGAAAAGAAAAATTAAATTATGATGGTGATTGTTCCTGTTATCTGATCTATATCCACATTAAGAGTAAAGCGTGCCTTGGAAACTTGAACATACCAAAAATCTGCAATCAAAATAAGCCATAACTTCTATAAGCCGGAAGGACTAGGAGATCCCAATCAAGGATTTGCCAGATTGTCGGCATGTCCACATTTGACAATGGTGATCACCTCTTTGGGATGTAAAAAGGGCATGGAATCCAGCTTGCCTCCATGCAAGAGCCAGACTAGCAGTTCACAAACAGTTCAGGAGCATTGACGGAACACACCCACCCAGATGTGCTGGCTCCCACCATTGGCCACTGGCACCAACGGGAGTTTCCCTCCAAAGTACAGCTTTGTGGGGTAGGTGTAGGAGGAAAGGTTCTGATTCTGAGTGGGCTCTCCAGTGGCTCTTATTTACCATAAAAACAATACACGCACTGTTGAAACATGTGATTGCATGATGTGTCGTTTGGCCCATGCTCAATCACATTATTTGAAACTGTGTCTTGGGCACTAAGATCCTCTTCAGCATGTTCTGCAAACATACCGTTTTCCCTTCTAGGATAAAAGGGGGTTCCTAATACCTCAACGGGACTTTTATGACAGCAACAATAGCATCCTGATGGCTTCTTTCTTGCCAGTTCAATGTGTAAGGGGCAAGGTGTCTCAAAGACCTACAGCTCTTTCTACCGAAGCAGCTTGCAGGCAGATAAAAACTGTTGGTTTAATAGGGTAGCCATGGGTTCTACTTTACAGAGGACGATTCTCTGTTGGAAAGGCTGCCAGAGGACAATCCTCTGTTTCTAGGAACCCTCTATGTGAGGGTTGTCCAGCCCAAATTTGGTTCAAAGATAAGTAATTATAAAAAGGGAGAGCAAAAGTCTTGACATTGCCCATCAGCAGTTTGCTGGTCAGCAGACTGGCAAACAAGTCAAACAAGTCTTCGTTAAGGTGAGATTTATTGTATTTCTATTTAAATTCTAGATTTTCCCCCCCTTCTGAATTTGTGCCTATGTATATAATTTCCCCCCTATGCAAATTGATAGTGTGGGGCCACCAATCTGCATTAGAGTCATATCAGAGGGGGGAAATCAAAGCTCACTTACCCCCTCCATGCTAAAATTCTAATCCAGATTGCTCCTCCTGCACTGGCAATTTTGTACTTAAGGGCAAAGATGTGGAGCTAATCTAGTCTGGACAGCTTGTTTGACGCTGCCAGCTGAGCTGCTACAAATTGCCCAGAAATCCTGTTTGAGCCTACTGAAATCTTGTCCTCTCCCTCTGCATTACCCACAATGTGGAGAGACTATGGAAGTGCTGCTCAGCTGAATGTGCTTATGATTATGGGCACCAAAATTTGTGTGGTCTCCCCATATTACTTTTCCGTATGTGCATATAAACTTGAGAGATTTAGGCTTATTGTTGCATTTTACTTACTTACTTATTTTTGTCCAGAGTACCAAACTATTCAAATAACATCTGTCCTGAAAAAGGCAACGTAAGAGAAAAATAATAATAATAATTACCCAGCCTTGTTGGTGTAGCTTTTGGAGCAGGTGGCTGGGGTGCTGAAGGAACTGGCTGCATTTCACTTGAAGCTATAGTGAAAGAAATGGCCAAACCTTTATAAAGAGCATCGGTGCAAAATTCACCTTACAAGTCTGTAAGACCCCCATTGTCATACAGGGCCTTCTGGGGACATAATTTTGCAAATTATAGAAAGATAACTGAGAGAAGTGGAAACTGGTTGCATCATAATCCATCATGTACAGAACTAAAGAAAACATTACCATTGCAATATAGCTTTTTAATGAAATATTAAAGAAGTGAAGTTAAAATGATTGTTAGTCGTATTTTAAAAACTTGCCATTACCCAATATTTCCGTGGGCATTTGAAGTGTGTGAGGTATTTTAGTTTTAGGAATTTCTGGCAACTCGTGTGGAGCTAGAAGTTGGAAAAAGAAAAAGAAACCCAACGTATCAGTATTCAAAATACTGAAAATAAATACTTACTACTTCGTAATTTGGTGTAACAAACAGCCAGAAAATCTTATTAATCTCTATGTTTCGGTGATGGTGGACAACCTCACTTGATTAGGCTGTGGGAAGCAACTATTTTGTTTGCTAAGCTCCACTGAATCAATACCAAACAGCAAGACAAAACAGGCCTAAACTAGTTGCACATATAGACTGACCAAATTACAAGGAGCAAATTTACAAAGACTGAGCCAAATACAGGAGTGACCACATAGGTATGAATCATAACTGAGGTTTTAATTCAAAATAACTGAAAGTGCCAATAGTAATAATAATAATTTATTATTTATACCCCGCCCATCTGGCTGGGTTTCCCCAGCCACCCTGGCAACTCCCAACAACAACAATAATAATAATAATAAAGCGACAAAACATTAAACATTACAAACTTCCCTAAACCTGCCATAGGGTGAAGATGATGTGGCATATGAGAAAGATTGTGATAATATATACCCAACCCATTATCTTTTATTATGAATATAAGAACAACACACACACATTTTGGAAATTAATTATCTGGTTATTTGTGATTATTTTCATATGTATCTAGAAACCTATAGATGTACTCTATGGCTTATGCCTGACATTTTCTAATGATTCCAGACACCTTTTCTTAAGAATTAACACATAACTCTCTTAAACCTTATTTTTGGTTCTTTATGATTTTTTTCTTTTTCTTTATGAGTGAAACTTTGTGATCTGCATGGTATTTCTGTTCATACTCAGTATAATTCCTTACAATTTTAAACAAGTGCTAGCAATATATATTATATGAGCCTATTTTTATTGTCTGACATCAATGATGTAAGGAACCATAGATTCATTTTGATACCCAAAGCTTTCCTTTCTATTAATAATAATTTCTCAAAGGCCACTTGTTCATAAGATTCCAAACTCTCCATTATGCTTCACATTTAATTCCATCAAAATATATTCTTCTTTATATACTCATCTTATTTAATTAGAACGATTATCTTTAAAATAATGAATGAGAAAGGTGCTTTGCAGGCTTTGTAAAGTTGTAATGATCAGCTTTAATTGAAACAGGTTTACTTATTGATGTCCATACACTCCCCACCACCACATTGCAGTGATTACTTGCTTATTATACGACAGTCATGACTTCAGTAATACAATAAAATTGTTTCTCTTTTACATATATGCACCTACACATACCAGAGGTAGCCTTCAGCAGCCCTGTGTCTGCAGCAGAAATACTATGTACAGAGTATTTATCCTGTGTGTCAAGTGGCAATTCAACCAAAGGTTTTGAAGACTCCACTTCCCTTTCAGTGTGAGCTAAAAAAAGAGAGAGTTAATATCCTTTCTTTAGACATTCAGGACACTATGACCACATTATGCAAAGCAGGACAGGGTGATGAAGGCAACTTCACAGAGATAATATTTTGTCTTCAATGGAGCTTCCAGACTCCCACTATCTTTGGGTGGTATTCAGCCACATACCTGCAGATTCAGGTTGCACAATTAAAGCTGATTTTATACTCTTGTGTAACAAACCTGCTCCCCTCCTCAAAAAATAAAAATTAAATAAACCAGACTGCTAGTGACAAGGGAAGTGAAGGATAATGATTGCTTGATGCAACTCTGTGAACAAATCACAACAAATACTCAATAAATAGCCAACATTGTCTGCAAACTTTGTGCAAACACTTCAGGATAAATGCTCAACAAACAGGTCACCCAGAAGCACCTTTTGTCTCACTACTTGAATAGCCATGATGTATTTTGCTGAAGAAAAATGGATTCTTTTAGTTGACAATACAAAAGACATTAAATATCTCTCCCAGCTAGCAAGCATGTTTTCCAAAATCACTGAAAGAAACACTGAAAAAGATGCTAAAAAGCAACAGAGACCACAATCTTATGCATGCTTCCTTAGCTTTAAGTCACACTAAATTCAATATTGAGCAAACAGGTATAGGATCACAACTATATTTCAAGAATGCTCCATAAATACAGGAAGCTGATGCAAGACTGATTGCATTCCCCTGTATGGCAGCAACTACTTGCTTATCTATTATGTAGCAGTTGATTCTGTTTCATATGTATGCACCCACACATATCAGAGGTAGCCTTCAGTAGCCCTAGGTCTGCAATGGAAATGCCATAAACAAAGTATTTACCCAGTGTGTCAAGTGGCAATTTAGCCAAAGGAGTTTTATTTAGTTTTGAGGATTCTGGTTCACTTTCAGAATGAGCTTTAAAAAAGAAAGAGAAAAGGGTTAATATTATTTCTTTATTGGAATGAGGACACCACATTCTGCTAGCACAGCAGTTACAATTCTACCATAATGTTCCTAAAGTGCTGTTATCAAAAGTTGGTCACATTGAGAATGTGGGGTATATGTAGCCTCATATAACCAACATGCTTAACTGTAATTAATGCATGAAGGGGTTAAGACCAGAGAGTAAGTTGTCCTGCCAGGCTTAGCAAGGTCACATTCCCTCACCTTGGGAGGAAATGTTACCAAATTATTCTTTTTTTTCTACTTCCACCATATGAACCTGACCAGTAAGGATGTCTAAGATGGATGCTCTAAGTTTAGACTTAGCAAGGCTTCCACAAGCCATCTTTGTGTTGCTATACAAAAAATATAGAAACTCTTACCACTTTTTGAAACTAAGTTGTACTGTCCTCTTTTTTTTTGCTGCTGTATGGAGAAGCACATGGATCTGACCTTTGAAGAGTTTGTAAGTAAACCATTTTTAACTTACCAAACATGTAGTCTCTTTCTCTGCAAAGGGGAAGTGGGGAGTTTTGAAAGAAACTTAGAAGGGAACATTTAAAAGATCTAACAGCCTATAGTTTCACGCTTTACTTTGCTGCATGTTTTGTGATTTTAAATCTCTGCAGGGGCTCTCTCACTAAATAGTACTTGCAGCACAGGAAGGTTGTACTTTACCTGGAGAGCTCTTTGTTTCTTCTGAGGCACTGGCAGCTGTAGGTTTGCTGCTTCCCCAGTCTAGTTCAGTCATAGCTGCAAGATTTAAAAAGTTAGCATAATTCTTAGTGTAGGGTAGGATATCCAAGTATAATTGAATTAGGTCAAGCAGCATGTAACAAAAGAAACCTCATTTCAGAATATAAGGCCATTGTTAGACATTTAAAATCCTTTGATCATTCAGTCAAGGAAGGGCATGTACAACGATTTATAAAACACAGTATATTTGTGCTTTCTTTCAAAGTAATTTCTCCTTGTAAATAGTCAAGGGTGTAGCTAACAATAGCCAGTCCCACTGTCATGCAAGTCAAATAGAAACCATTCCAGTGATCATTTTGGATTTATGCAAGGGTACAATTCATTGGTGGTTTGAGTAATTTAAGAGACCAAGTTAGAGGAGTGAAGACATATCAGAAAGCGTGAATAAATACAAGCTGTATTATAAAGAGAAAAGTGGTAAATGGAGCATGGAAGGGATCAAATAATGGAAAAGTACATTTACTGGGTTTTGAAAAAAAAAAAAAGGATGAAAATGTTCTGCTAATGAAAGGACACCACCATCATTTTCATATAAGTATAAAAACTTGATAGTGAACCGAATATTACACTGAGCATAAAAGCACATACAGTGGTACCTCGGGTTACATACGCTTCAGGTTACATGCTCCTCTAACCCAGAAATAGTACCTTGGGTTAAGAACTTTGCTTCAGGATGAGAACAGAAATCGTGCTCCGGCGGCGCGGCGGCAGCAGGAGGTCCCATTAGCTAAAGTGATGCTTCAGGTTAAGAACAGTTTCAGGTTAAGAATGGACCTCTGGAACGAATTAAGTACTTAAACGGAGGTACCACTGTATACAGTATTTCACCAGAAATGTACAGTCACTGAAACTCCATGAAATAGTTTTTTCAGCTTGTGATTGAAAACTATTCACTCAATTTCCCCTTAAAGATCATGCATGAAAAAATATCTGGATAATTGTAGTGGCTACCTAGGACTCTGTAGAAAAGATAGAACAGTGCATCCAGGCCACCTCTCCATCTCCAAGAAGGGATACAGCTGGTTCAGCAGCTGGTAGCGGCACTACCAAGTTATTGGATGTTATTTACATAACCAATGGCAATGCTGGATCTAAAAACCAGCCGCAAGCTGTAGATGTCTGATTAAAACCAGTGTTCTAAAAGATATCCATCGTCTTCTGCTTCATAGTTTGCCTCTTCCATGTTACTGAAGCAACTAGCAGTGCAATCCTATGCATATCTCTTTGGCTTCCGTGGTTGTTCTCCTTAAACAGGGCCGTCTTTACCCAGGGGTGCAAGGGGTGTGGGGCACCTGGGTGCCAAATTCTGGGGGGCGCCAAATGTATACCTACTGTATACCCGTCCCTCTTGATCGCCGGCAGTGAAAAGCAATGGAGCGAAAGTCCCCGGCCCTCTCCTCCATCGCTCTGTTACTCTGTAGCATTAAATATTCCCGACGAGTCGGGAAACAAAAGCAGTTTTTGTCCACTACGTTGTTGTTACAGGTGAGAGATTTTCCCCCTAAAAAAGGTCAACAACTTTGGCTTCCCCCTCCCCAAAGAATCTCAACTTTGAGTTCACCCCCCTAAAAAAAGTCAACAACTTTGGGTTCCTGCCCTCCCCTCTTTGCACCCCGGCAGTGCATATGCTAAAGACGGCCCTGCCCTTAAATATGTGCACATTGGATGGCAGCCAAAATATCACAGGCCAAAAAGAAGCCCCCCCAAAAAAACAGCTTGCTATAATGCAACAGAAAGCATTAAACTGGACAAGTGCCAGAGCATGTCCCTGATTTCTGGGTATGACTCATTTAAACACTATCCTAACTAAAGACACCTCAGCTATCAAGCAGGCTGTTCCATCTGTAACAGTTTGTTCAGTATACAGAAGTGTAAAAGTATTAGATGGGAGTGCAGTTGACCTCTGTAAAGTTTAATAAGCACAACACACCAACAGAATATTAAATGAGCTTCCAAATCAGAAAATTTCTGAAGTTTATAACTCATATAAAAAGAATATGGCTGTACAGTGGTACCTCGGGTTAAGTACTTAATTCGTTCTGGAGGTCTGTTCTTAACCTGGAAACTGTTCTTAACCTGAAGCACCACTTCAGCTAATGGGGCCTCCTGCTGCTGCTGCACCGCCGGAGCATGATTTCTGTTCTCATCCTGAAGTAAAGTTCTTAACCCGAGGTACTATTTCTGGGTTAGCGGAATCTGTAACCTGAAGCGTATGTAACCTGAAGCGTATGTAACGTGAGGTGCCACTGTATAGAGATGCTGAGGGAAATAGTTAACATGCAGGAAAATGAGAATCCCTCAATACATTTTGCCTAACTGAAGTAAGCTCAGTTTTATGTAGTATTTTATTAATGTGGTCTACATAAATGAATGAATTGTTAATTGAGCACACAATCTAATTAAATAAATAAATAATAGAAATAAACAGAAAAAAATAATCACCAGGCTGGGATTGGGGAGAGATTTCTTGTACTTCTGGTGTCTTGGATTCCGCAGGCCATTCCTGGGTTTCATTCTTAGCTTTTTAAAGAAAATGTAGGATTTAGTAAACACATATATTATCCATTACAACTACAAAGAACGTGACAAGAAGCAAAGGATCTAAATTTTTGGAAAGTAAATTCCCTAACTTCTCATTGTTCTGCTTTTCTTAATAATAATTGACCCAGCATGACTACCATAAACACTAACATCCCTGATGTCGCCAGTGGTCTCAAAACGGGAGACGGTTGAACACCCCTTCCAAACCAGATCACATCATAATAGTGTTTCACATTAGCTAGTCTGATGGACCTTGGTACATGCACAAGTGAGTAAAGGAAAAATTCAAAACCACTAATTTTCAATTTTTCAGAAGGCAAGCATTAGCAAACGAAGTTAGGATACCACAACCACAAATTTCAGGATACTGAACTTCATCTGCAAATTATTATTTTGAATTTTCTCATTAAATGGCAATTCAGTGTCTCATCAACTCTGAAGCCTGAACAGAAGATGGTCTTCCAAAATAATGTCATTAAAAAAAACACCAAAACACGTTACTGATTTTCAGAAAACCACAACAAACTCAAGAACCCTGTAGAGTCTATTCATCACCGGGATTCACCCTTATTTTTCTGTAAGTCCTTTCACACCAAAATATCTTTCCATATTGTTTCTCAGACATTTAGTTCCTTTCTGCTTCTTCTCCTAGTCAGTTGGTGTTTAACATCATAACTTCATATGTAAGCTTCTACTCAGACTATAGGAGTAATAAATCTTGTTTATTTATTCGTTCAAACAGCATTCTTAGCAGACTGTTTATTTCTGTACTCTGCTGCAATATATACGTGGAGCCCCAACAATGTTGTCTTGTAATATATTCCATCTCCGTAAAATCTTTTAGACCAAACTGATTAATAAAGGGTATGTTCACCTAAGCTTCCATAGTCTTTCCAACATTTTGAATCTATTGACTTAGCTATTTTAACTGGCAAATGTGGATACATGTGATGCGCCATCAAGGGATAATTTTAAGTGTGAGGCATCGTGATACCATTTATGTTCGGTATTCCTCATCTTTCATGAGCAAAATCTTTGAATGGTGCTTTTTTTGCCTAGTCTATGTTTTCCTCCTAGTTAAGACAGTCTGTCATCTACTAAGCTTTTGATCTTGCAGGTCAAGTGGGTTTACTTGAAAAAGAAGAGTTTTTTGTGGGGGAAACACAGTTTTGACCATTGATATACTGTCCTAAACAGGAAAACATATTTAGACTATTCATGTATTTTAGACAATTTAATTTTGTAAAAAGAAGTTTATATTTTAAACTTTCCAATTTATTTACCTTTTTAAAGATTTCTACACCCCTTTGCAGCCACCTTTGATCAGCTCATTGGTGCCAGCTATGAACTTTGCTTTAGGAAGGGAACAGTTCCACTTGGTGATTCCGGATCAGCAACTCCTCAGTGCGGCCAATCCCTGTCTGGTTTGCCAGCCACCAGCAATCACCAAATCAGTGCCAGTGGCAAATTCCACTTTCAGCAGGGATCAGCTCCAGTTGCCCCCTAGGCACTCTCAAATACTTGGTAAAACAAGGCTAACAGGCTGTGTGATGGTCTCAGTGACCCACAATGGCAAAACATTCCCACTCAATTTCCAAACATGGATGTCTCACCATCTTGGAATGTCAGAAGCTGGGCAGACCTGATTTACATGCTTCCCAAATCCAGCTACTTTTTTCTGCTTACCCGGTTTTTTCTCTGGTCTTTCAGAGATATCCAGTGATGGCAGTTTCTGTCGGGTTCCATTGAAATCTGGTACAATAAGGTGCACTACACAGGAAGGTAAAGGAGTTGTTCATTCAGGAGTAATTTTTTAAAATTGATGTTTGTAAATAAAAACTAATATAAAGTGTTAGCAGTGTGGAGAGAGAGCAGTAGGGAAAGAAGATATAATCACGACGAAGGTACTAGTTTCATATTGCAAGTCCTACAACCTCCTTAACAGCCCCAACCAAGTTCCCATGCAAGCATTTTACCTTTATGGAAAACATTTTTTACTTACTTGCTGGAGACAAGTAAAGGGTTGTCCCCAGTTTACTCTTAAAGAATGATAACAACAATGTAGCTAACCAGCAGTTTTAAGAATATCCCTTTCCTTATCTCTCTCTGCTCAGATACAGCAGTAGTAAGAAAGATGCAAAGCAAATAATTATAAGAAAAGAGAAAACTCTAAAAGATAAGGGTTGAAGGTGAACCCTGGTGCACCTATCCAGAATAATGGACATCTTAGTCACCTAGTATTGGTCCTGCTAATGGAGCCTTCTCTGGGATTTTAGATTGTGCCCGATGTGTGACATTTTGAAGTACTGTGAAAACAAGAATGGAATGGAACAATTCTCATTATCTACATTGTCTCTAAGTTGCTGCTAAATTACAAATCAAATTCTCTCACACACATGTTCAGTACTTGTGACAATATGCAGCCAATTTCAGTAAGGCCCATTAATACTATGCCATCAAGTTAAGTAAGTAAAGAGACAGATCTAAATGTCAGCAATGAGAAGAAAAGAGTCCATTTGATTAGGCAATAAGGAAACCACAGGGGATTTTAATGAAAGTAGTTTCAGTGGAGAGAAAAAAAGGCAGAGGCCAGGTTGCAGGAATCAAAATAAGAGTTGGAAGAGAGGAAGTCAAGGCAGCATAAATTTGTTTATTACATTTGCATGTCACCGATCCGACCATAGTTATCAGGGCAATTAACATAAATAAAATACAATTCACAAATAAAAAATACAGAAACCAAAACAAAATAAATCACCAAAGCAAAAAAAGTTCAGAGAAAGACTTCAGCTTAAATCAACATAAAACATAGCAGCTGAAAAAATGTAAACAATTAAAACCAGCACATAAACCAGCAATTGGAAACTTGGTGTACAAGTGAAGTACCAATGGCTCATAATGAAAAGACAGCAAAGATGCCAGGTGAGCCTCTCTGGGGGGAGATATTTCATAAGACACCACCATATGTCAGGTGTTTTGAGATAAATGCAGATAGAAGCTCATTAACTCCATACATTATTCCCCTCTAACTGATTGAGGGGGGGGTCATAAGAATGGGGGAAATGGTGGTGTATTCGAAGGAAGTGTGGAAAGAGAGAAGAGACAGGTTGCTGATGTGGTAGTGGAATAACCACAGAGTAGATGGGACGCGGGTGGCGCTGTGGGTAAAACCTCAGTGCCTAGGACTTGCCGATCGTATGGTCGGCCGTTCGAATCCCCGCGGCGGGGTGAGCTCCCATCTTTCAGTCCCAGCTCCTGCCCACCTAGCAGTTCGAAAGCACCCTTAAGTGCAAGTAGATAAATAGGTACCGCTTTATAGCGGGAAGGTAAACGGTGTTTCTGTGTGCTGTGCTGGTGCAGGCTCGCCAGAGCAGCGATGTCACACTGGCCACGTGACCCGGAAGTGTCTGCGGACAGCGCTGGCTCCCGGCCTCTTAAGTGAGATGAGCACACAACCCTAGAGTCTGACAAGACTGGCCTGTACGGGCAGGGGTACCTTTACCTTTACCTTTACTTTTAGATGGCTGACAGGAGTGGAAAGGGTCAAGGGGAATTGAAGACAGATTAAACTAAGGAAGAAGTGTGGCCATCTCATTGAAATATATTATAGGTGAGGTGGGAGAAAGAATAAAACACTGGTCTTCAACAGGCAGGTTGTGCTCTGATCTAAGGTGGGTCACAATAGGAGCACTACCACCATGCAAATACATGAGAAAAGATTAAGAAATGGGGCCCAAAACACATGTTTGGGTGAAAAGCAGGTCCTGGGTCTGAAAAGGTTGACGATACAAGGAATAAATGGTTCTCAGAGATGGCGGGGTTTTCAGAAGGCATCCAAGAATGTAAGAACACCCCTCTGGATCAGGCCATCTACACTGTTTCCATAGTGGCCAACCAGATGCCTGTGGGAACCTGCAAGCAGGATGAAAGCAGAAGAGTCCTCTCCCCTCCCACGGAGCTGGACCATAGCCATCCTGGCTAGTAGGCAGGAGCAGTATAGAAAGAAAGGTAGGTAAAGAGCTTAATGCAAATAACATTTAACTGAAAGAGACAAGGATCCAAGCAGATTGTGGGGCTTCACAGGACATCAAAAGAAGAGAAGAAACATAGATCATTATTAGATGGTGTACAGATCAATGTGCTGCCAGGCCAAGAGAAGGAGAATTTAAAATGGACAAACGGCCAAGCCTTTGTGTTTCCTCCTAAAGACGTTAGCATCATGAGATCATCAATAAAGTTGTTGTTGGATAGAGGGGAAGTAGAGGCTAATCTATAAGGTGAAATGGGACACTCCTCCATGAGCCTCAGTCTGCAATCAGTTTTGGGCCACTGATTGCTGAAGCTGTCAATGCACTGCCTACATGTTGGATAGCCACAAACACAGTGATTCAGCTGTTGTGCCAGAAACAAGCTTTTGATGTGCGCTTCATACCTCCCATTTTTGAGAAGGCAGAGGGATACATTGTTGTTTTCAGGTACCCCAGCTAAGACTGATGTGATCTAAGCCTGTGCATGAAAAGAAACAAAGAAGCAGCTTTTAGAGTGGGTCTCAAAAAGAGGTAACGGTCTTCGGTTCTGGAAAGTGCCTTTTGGATCTCCCTCTTTGGGGGTCTGATGTAGGGCAACGTGACTGTTGTTGGAGTATCTAAGAGGTCTGCTTCCACTTATGTCCTACGTTTAAGTAAACTGAAGTATATCATAATGCTTTTATTCTCCAGTAATCTGTCCTCTCAATGGAATCAAATCCAGGTCACTCTGTTCCTATTCAAGGTTTAACTTTAGGTGTCCCACAATATGTTTCCAGGTTCCAAAATTCCTTTTGACCTATACAAAACTGGGCTCTTGGAATGGATGTAGCCATATGAAATGCTGTATTGCCCTGGGGTTGTGCCCCTAGGACAGTTTGGTGTGCATCTTCAAAATCTTCCCTGTTTTTTGCAGCCAGAAGAGATAATGCAGACTGCCAACAGGATATGGACAGGGACTTGGTTGTTGCCAGAAATATTAATTTAACCCAAGATATTTTCTCTTTTTTCTGCAGGGATAAGAAGTCATGTTATAAGAACTGATCAGAATGAGATAAGTTTTGCATTCAGTGTGACAATGGAATTCGGTTAAAGGGATTAGATTTGAGCATGTTTCCTGCAATCTTAAGACAAGATTCCTTTCTGTTCACGGACCCTCCCCCCAACACACCCCAATTATTTTCATGCATAAAGAAATGTCTTCCATTCTATGGAAATCAAGTATAGGAAGTCATACACATTACCTTGTTTGATTATTGTGTAAGGAAGCTGAACTTTTGAATCTGCTGGTATAAACTGGAGAGGAAAAGAAAACATTCTATAAAAATACGAATGTTACTTGCTTTTTCTCGAGGTGGCAAAATAAGTTTTGCCTAAAGCTCAGTTGTCCCAAGAATGGACATATCTTCCAAGTGCATAGAAAAATAATACTGCTGCTTCAGTTTTATCTAGCTATACAGCCAGTACATGTTTAACTTCATAAATGCAATGACCCATGCTGTCCTGGCTGCTAACAGCCTAGCAGGACAACCTATGGCTTTTGATTGCTGAATCTGCAAATGCACTATCCATGCAGTGGATAGCCATAAAAACAGGGGTTCAGATTGGGCACCAGAAAACAAACCTTTGATGTGCATTTCATACCCAAGCGCTACCACAAGGTAACCAGATTTTTTTCAATGAATCCGGGGACACTTTTCAACTTCAATGGATTTTGTATGGGGACTGATTTGTAAATCCGGGGACTGTCCCTGGGAAACGGGGACGTCTGGTAACCTACCACCCAATTTGGACAAGGCAGAGGAATATATTGTTGCTTTGAAGTTTCAACCACACAGAGACAACATCCCACCTGACATGATAGAAACTGGATTTTAGATCTGGCAATTGTATAGTGTGTTTTTATTTGATAATGATTGCTTTCCAACGGAATAAAAATCTCTTTGTCTTTACAAGGAAAATAAGATCCATCGTCTTAAAAAACTAGCTTTCTGTGTCACAGAAGTGGCAAACTTCAGCTCTCTCCTATTGGACCTTCTGGATAGCCACTGCTTTAGGCAGCTCCCACAGTCAACATTTTAACTGTAGAAAGTCTGGAAAGTACAAGAAATGCCAGAAATGTGGAAAACTCAAAGCAGCAATAATTCTTAAATCTTCTCTGAGCATAAGGCTAGTGTAAGAATGTAACGGAACACATGCATTCTGTATTCATTGTGTATACATTAAAATAATGTGTATACATTAAAATACATAATGTGTATACATTAAAATGGCAAGCTTATCACATGCATCAGAACTATAATTCTATATGGATTGCAGTCCAAACAGACCCTCTCCTGGCCTTGAGGAGCAGCTTTTTATGGGGTACCAGAGGTAAGGGGATCTGGAATAGCCCAAGTGATCCTTTAGATCCTGTCCATAATTTGGAAACAAGTGCACTAGGCATGATCCAGCAGGAGTATGACACTTGTTACACTTTTCATTAACTTTTCTGAGTGGCAGACTTGGGAATTATGGTGCCCTATGCATGGTCCAAAATTGGCGACCCCACCCTCACTCTGCCTCCCCAAAGGTGGGCAAGGAGGCACCTGGTTTTGGGAAGGAGGTCAAAGGGTGCGACAGGTTCAATTACAAAACAGCTTTAACAAAAGAATCAAGCTTTTGCGATTCGATCTTAAACAGGCCTGAAATGGTTAGACCCCAGCACAGAATGAGAGTAAAACTGCCGCATAACTTGGTGATGATTGTACAAGAATCTAATATAATTATTTGTAGTCAGCAGGCATATGGGCAGATGTTTTTCTACATCTGGTTTTCAGAAGCTTGTCAAAAAGCCTTCCAAAACAGCTAGGTTATGAGACCACAGGTTCAAAAAATGATAAAAGCTTAGGAAACTAAACTATTTACACTAGAAATAATAATAATTACATATCAATAGTTGGAGCGGAAGTTAAGTATCTGTGTTAACCCAGTTTCTGCTCAAAAGACTCAACAATCTTGAAAATGTTTCCTTCATTCTTAGTCCCAGTTGATAGTTAAGTATATTATTTAGGGAACTTTGTAACAAAAAGGCTGGAAGCAGCTCCTATTTTTTATTTACTTATCTCATTTCCTCCTAAAGGGGAAGGAAATTCTGACATAATGTTAAAAGACCTTTGGCATTCCCAGGGATCAGGCACCAGCCTGGCTGTAGATACTGTAGTTGTAAGAATTACCTGTCTCAACCCCAGACTATAAATCAGGTTGTGTAACTAAGTCTACCTACAATATAAGGTGCAATGAAAGCATGATTTGATGTTCAGAAGACATCTAAAAATTAAACAAACATGGTTATCACAAAGAGAGGATACATTATGCAATGTCATAATTTACACTGACAGCTTTACTGATTGATGTGAGGTTTGTTAAGCTTTTATTTCACAGAGAACAAATGTGAGAAATGAAGGACTTAAAGATACTACTGCAAGTATATAAAAAAGCAAAGAATCTTGTGGCATCTTAAAGAGTAACAAATAATTATGACTTAAGCTTTCATAACTACAATCTACTTCATCAGATGCATAAAATGTAATCCTCAGGCACATATTAAAAAGTGAAAGTTGGAATTAAATGGCAATGAAATTGAAAAAGTACAGTCTGACAATTAAATTAGAACTTAAATTCATGCAAAAGGAACCCTCCTGAGTGACCCTTCACAGTAGCAGTAATTAGTGATAACATAACTACAGTATGTTAGCATTGCTGAGTAAAAAAATATTCAGGACCAAATTAATAGAATCTTTGAAAAGTTTTAATTAGGAATGGGAGGATCTGCCAATTTTTGTTCTCTCAGTTTGCTATTTTTCTGATCTTAAATTAATTCTTCACATTTCTATGATGTGGATAAATCACTTCTGTGAATTATTTTTTTTAAAGAATACCTCATGAAAGTCCTTCAACATTTGAGTGTGAATCCTAACACACAGTTTTTGTATGTGGTTTTTCACAACATAGTCCATTTTTGTATATTTTCACGAATATCTCCCTTTGTTGCACAATTTTTTTACCCAATATATCCATTTTTGTAAATCTTGTTTGGTTGGATAATTCCACTGCAAAATTCAAGTGTGATTTTCGGATGGCTGTGTTTCAGTTCTCATATTGTTTCAAAGTGTGAGTTGCATGGATTTAGGTGTGAATGCAAACTGAATCAAATTTCTCCTAGCTGTAATTTAGCAGTTTCATGTTGGTGTTTCCTTTTGAAGTTCCTTTGTTCAAGGATGACCATAAATAGGGTTGCCATATTTCAAAAAGTAAAAACCAGGACACCCCAAAAGTTGTTGATTATTTTTTTAACAAAAGATAATAGTAATAAAACAATTATTAAACTGACTTGCCTAACATCAATTTCTCAGAAATTCCCCCCAGACATCAATTCCGCTGGGGAACCTTGTTCAGCCCAAGGGCCACTTTCCCTTCTGGATAACCTTCTGGGGGCCACATTCCAGAGATGGGAAGGGAAGGGAAGGAAGGGAAGGGCTAAAGGCAAATGTGGCTGGAGCAATAAATATGATTTTTGGCTTTGAACACTATGAGTTTCTTCACTATCCTCTCTATCCTCCACTCAGACAAGCAAGGAGCATTGTCAAAGGACACATTCCAGCCAGGCAAAATCACTTATGGAAGGTGCAAAGGAAACTGATGAGTGGCCCAGGAGGGTGTTTTGCCTGGGGAGAGTGCCAGGTTCTAGAGATGGTTAAACATTACTGTAAGATTTGTGTTCTTTTATTCGTTTGCACAGGGACTGCTGACCTATCTGTCCTACAGAGAATACAGAAGGAGATTGATGTGCCATAAGATTATATGTTTCGGAAAAATGGGAGATTAATGGAAGTGAGCACTGCATAACTAAGAGAAGATTAGTTATACAAGCAGTGCCAGAAACTAGACATATTGACTCCTGATTGTATGCCTAATGCACTTAACCATCTATGTTTCACGTTCATCTGGTCTGGCAAAAACATAAAAGAGTAGGAAGTAGCCATGTAGTTTTTGGCAGATAATACATCTTTTCTTTCCTTCTTTTTTGCTGACTTTTTGGGTAATGGCCAAAATAACATACATACATTTTAAAGATGCAAGACATCTCTTTTAAGTCAGGCCTGCTCCATTTGACTGGACAAATCTTTGAGAAAATCTTGTTTTTCTTTGGAGATAAACAGAAGAAACTAAAGTTCCCACCTTCTCGGTCAGAGAATCAAGTAAAGGACTCCACCTTGGAACTTGACATTATAAAACTGTTGCATCGGAATCAAGCAGAAGTGAAATACATCTTCTGACAGTGTTTCCTTCTGCCTCTTCCATACTCATGGCTTATCGAATATAATAGACAACAGACCAAAGGATGGCATGTAATTTTTACAGCTTTCCTATGACCCTGTATCTGGCTTGCAAGGAGGTTAAGAGAGCAGAACTGGATGAAGAGTGTTTTAATTCTTTTCCACACAACTTAGAAACTTGACATTTGGTATACATGCAGACAAACGTACCCCAATTCCAAAAATGCACAACCACAAACTGAAAAAATAGGATATGTCTCTGGTTCATCTCTGGTTCAAACTTCTGAGTTAAACTACATCCCAAAATGATTTAACATTTTCCCACATGAGCCACGAAGCTGAAATTCAGTTCACATGCAATGACACTCTCTTTAGTCCTTCATTAGTTACACTTAGTTAATTGCTAGACTAGTATGAAAATGGAATATTTACAGTGAACATTGCAATAAGCAGTATTCTTAACAAGCCAAGCCACATATGAGATAGAATGTTGGGAGATTTGCCTATCCATCATTGAATGATCTGATCAAACCAACCACTGGTGCTGTGCCTGCTGTGAATTCCAGTATTATGAGGGAGAAAATCTTTGCTCTATCCACTTTCTCTACACATGCATAATCTTAAACACTTTTATGTGTCACCTCTTACTAGCTTTTTACCTAAACAAAAAAGCTGCCAAATATTTAAACTTTCCTTATAAGGGAGTTGCTCCAGCCTTTTGATCATTTTAGTTGATCTTTCGTGAATCTTTTCCAGCTCTACGATATCTTTTTTGAGGTGAAGTGACTGGAAATGTACATAGTTTTCCAAGTGAAGTCACACAGTAGATTTGTAATGATGGCAAATTCATTTTGATTATGATATTAGCAGTTCTATCTAACCATGCAATTCTGTTCTGGCATTGTTAGGCAGAAAAGCAAAGTAAAATCAGGTTGACAACTGATTTTCTAACTTACCCCCAAATACTGATTCTATCAACAACTTAAATGTTTTTTGACAGAAACAGTGTTTGGGGAAAACTTTGAAATTGATATAATCTATATCTGTTATCCATGCTTGTTGCAGAAATAGAATCAAACAAAGTCCTTCTACACTGTAAACCCCCCCCCCTCCCTTGAGGGAACAGTATTTGTGTATCACATTGAAATGATAAAGCAATTATATACCATGTTTTTCCATCTCCAAAAATAATTCTCATCTGCCAATGCTGGATTCGGTATAAATTTGATATACTGCACCCAAAAATGCTACTAGAACAAATCAGTTTTCTGTGAATTGCGATGGACAGAGTACTCTTCTGATTTGAGTGAGAGGTACTTGTGTGTTCCTTGAGAGGATGTAATAATATAGTTTGCATAACTTTAGTTGAGGAAAAAAAAATAAAACCCCCAGAACTGCCAGATTTGATATATTAGTCATTTATACAGTATTAGACCCCAAAATAAGCTTAGTTTCATACCTGAGTTGGGATTCTTGGTATTTTGTAATTATTCTGGAGTTGTCCATTTTCTTTATTTTTACCTGGTTGAAAAACACAACAAAATTACTCTGTGTTTTTCAACACACAAAACCCCTTTTAATATTCAAACATAGGGAGATCTATTCCAGTTGGTCCCCAGTGTTTATGGCTGTTAACGATCAAACTGTTATTTATTCTCCTTCTATTTACATTCTCGACAAGTTCAAGGGTAGGGAATTGACCCTCTTGCTCCATCAAAATATTTATTCTTGCACACAAAATCCACATTGAAAGCTTAACTATAGTAATGGCTATGGTTGCACCATGCTTAACCATTATTAATGCGAGCTAGAGTTTCCATTGTAACTATGGTTTGAAGCAATACTTTGAAAAGGAAGGAACTGGCATATAAGTGACAAGAGAGCATGCAAGCCTGCAGAGATTGGGAGCTTTATACATGTGGCTGGTTTGCTGGTTGGGACGGAGCCCAAAGACCTGTTTTTGGTTTAGTATTTGTAAACTGTATTTGTAAATTGTCTATTTTAATCTTAATTTATGTAGATTATTGTAGTGTGGGCTCAGCAATTAATATAGAAAATAGAGGACATCACACAACTTGAGAAACATTCCATACAGACACAAAAGGTTTTCTACTGCACGCATGAAAGATTTTAAATCAGAATAAAACTAAAATGTATGCCATAAATAAAACGAAACAACCATAACCCAAATTAAGGAAGCAAATATGCTGCTTCAGAACCTACTGTATTTTTCCTTGTATTGGACGAGGTTTTTTGACACAAAAATCATGTCAAAAAACTGGGGTCGTCCAATACACAGATAGTGGCATGGAGGGAGATGCTGCTGCAAGCAGAGAGCGATTTGAGGATGCTGGCTGCCTGAAGCACAACTTCCCTCGATGCTGCTGAGCAAGGGAAACACTCTCTATCTGCGCAGGGGAAATGATCTAAGGAGTGTTTCCTGCCCACAGCTGCATGGGGGGAGAGGCTCTACAACTTTGGGTCATCTCCCCTCATTTTCTTAAAACTTAGTGCCCCAAAATGAGGGGGGTGTCTAATAGATGGAAAAGTACGGTAGTTTTTTCAGGTGAATGAGCAGAAAAAGGGAATCTTCAATTATGTATGAAAGACAATGCCAAGCACTAACAGATGCTAGTACTGTAGGAATAGAAGGGTGTAACAAAATGGATATGATGCTATTTTGCCATGTAAAATGGGAGAGAAAGCATTCCAAGGGAAACAGGAATTAGAGGCATCCACTCTGATTTTGCAGGAGCAGAAATCAATAGTTGTCAAATTAAGAAAGGCTATTCAAAGGGCAATTAAAACATTAACCTCCTAGCTGTGATCAATAGAAAGAAAGAAATCCAGAAAGATCTGCAAACAGGAAACTTCTAATTAAAGGTACACACACCCTGAACAGCCTCAACAGGACTTTGTTCACATTGGACAGGCTAGTGCTACATGTTATTGCGAACAGCAACAATGAAGCAGGTTATTAAAATATAACATGTTGCACTGCACTGATTTGACTGCAAGAAACCCTGGAGAAAAAGGCAGGTCTGAGTTCATGAAATGTCTCAAAGTGCGGATTAATACTGGAGAGCAAACTAAATCTGTTTGGAGGCATGCTGTGATGTCAGATTTATAAAAAAGAATTTAAAACCATCTCTAAATTTTTATTGATTCTCAACGTGCAGTACAGTCAAGTGCAAGTCTTGACATTAATAATTTTAACGACTGCATAACATGCCAATAATCTGACCTTTCCCTTCAATAACATAGAGCCAAACTATGACATGATAGGACAGCTGTGCTTAAGTCTGCATCATGCATAGATGTAGGGAGTCTATTATTGCAGTAAGAAAAGAGAGCACAGGGGATATGAGTGAAACCCATGCACAGCCCGGTCATTCCTCACTTTGCTTTGCTGCTTTAAATAGTTTCTCTCCCCAGGTCAATTTCAATAATGGAAGTGAGCCTGGCAGAGGGAAGTTTGCTGAAAGCAATAGCACACAGTAGAGCAAGGCAGGAAATGGAAGGTTTCACTTCCTTCACCCATGTGCTCATTTTCTGGGGTAAAGAATAGAAGCCACACCTACTTTATGTCTGAAAAGAGCTGACATGTGCATAAATGCCTACCCTGTAACATCTTAACATCTTGTTCTGCTCAGGAAGAGATACACATTACTTACCAGGCACAGCCACTTTGTGATTGAAAATCTTGCTCCAGACCCCATTATCTGTATTGTCTTTCACTCCAAATTCATAAATTGTGTTGGGTTTCAGATTATCCACCACAGTTTCTGTTGTTGGACAAAGCTGGAGAACCCACTTCTTATTCTTGTCCTTTTCTCTGTAGCGGACTGTATAAAACCTAGTTGAGAAAAAGAAAATGGATATGTCTAATCAAAGGGGGAGATACAATTTAAAATAAGGTACTGTGGTGCTTTTTTCATCTAAGGAACAATAGGTGATATAGTCAGTATCATTTTGCTTCTGGGGTTCAAGCAAGGCTAGACTGAAATTTACTATAGCCTTCCTGAGGATTCTCTATGCAAATATTGGATTCTCTGTTAGTTTAGACTGATTTCAATCACTGGAAAGTGACTATTCTGAGCAGCAAAAATGACCATTTGGTTATTGCCAGTATAGTAAATCCAAGCTCCACAGTTCATTAGAGTAAACAAATATGGGTTTAAAACATTACTGAGTTGTATTGTCGAATCAACAGACACCATTAAGCAACATATCACAGATTTAACATTTAAGAAACCCCAGAATTAGAATTTTTGATTTTGATAAATTTGACCTGAAAATCTAAGTAAAGCATAAGAAAGCAACAGCTCTCATAAACTACTTTTCTAACAGAATGATAGTTGTTTAAAGCTTGCTTTAATGATTGATGTAAATCTGTTTCAACTACATGTCTTCTCTAGAATTTTCCACCTTAAAAATATGCCCTAGTTTTCTAATCTGCTTATTTTATTTTTTCCATGGAACTCATCAATCAATCAAGGGGTGGGGGGGAAGAATCAGCATTGATTTTTGTTGTTACTGCATCATGTTCACAACTGATTGGCCTCCAGGAATAAAAACATGAAGGAATCTTAAATGTCCTCTCAACTTATTCCAACTATGCCACTTAATTCAGCAGTTCTTACAGATTTAGCTTGATCTAATTGAGATTAAAATCAAGCCTGGCAGCATTTTGAGAGCAATATGAGGTTCATGCAGGGAAAGCAATATGGAAAAAGGTGCCAACAGCTCTTAGGCAACAGCCACCTGATAAATTAAACTATAAATAACATAGAATTGTGACTTAGGGAAGGGAGACTTCAAGTCCAAAACTGTTACAGGAATTATTCCAACACTATATTTGTGTCAATGTTCTCTGCTTTTGATAGTCATCTCAAAAAGTAGCATGTTTGCCACGGCTGATCAGACAGTTGAAAAATACTTACCCTGCCATATATTCACATTTTTTTTGCTGCTACTGCTCAGCTAATGCTCCCATTTTCCTTCATCTTCATCTCACAGCCCTCATATAGTCTCACACCAATTCATCTGGCATGAGCAATTTGAATTTGTTTACTAGTACCTGTAACGTTATCATTCCACAGTGGCATTGTTGACAAAATAATGTGGACCATCACAGCCAACAGGTATTGTGGGCAAATGGGGCTGAGGAATGTGAGCACAAAGAACTTCAAAGAAATAGCACTGAAATAGCATATGTGTTTGCAATGTGCCCAAAAATGTCAGAAATGGAAGGTATTTTTGCAACTTATAAAAAGGAACATGAAATAGGTAAGCTCTGACCAAAATCATTAGGTTTCATTGCAACATTCTGATGCCTCTTTATTATAAAGGTTTGGATCCTATGCTTCTGCTCTGTGATTAGGATCTTGTACCTGTGGAAGAACCCCTTCAACAGTTGTTTTGTTCTGAGTGATCATCAAAAATGGCACAGAGTGTGTGTAAAGCATGTGGCCTAGCCACAAGCTCAACCATCCTTCTGTGAATGTAGAATCCTTCCATTTATAGAGCAGCAACTTGGGATCCAAGCCAAATGGGCAAAACACCGTCCCGTAATCTTCATTAGCTGTATCTTTCAGTGGATTACCTGTCATTTGCACAGTTATTCATTGTGGTCCAATCATGCTTTGGGTTGACTAAGATCCCCCAGGACAAGAAGACCGAAGTTGGAGTTAAAGTGCCTATTACCAGCTGGAGGGGCTTTGGTGTATTCGTTTTACCTATGTAAGAAAGCATAGAAACTTTAAACAATTTTATATATTACAAGATGTATCTGAAGGGCCTGCATAACTTTTGACCCAACCATGTACTGTGGTCTTCCAGCAGTTCACCGGTCCTTTTTAAATTTTTTTGCAGATCACCCAAAACTGCACAAACAGGGGTGAGTGTGTGTGTGTGTATCATGTGGCATAGCTAGTAAACTGAATTCAGTTTAGTTTGTCACCTAATAGAGGACAGGAATAAATCTGAGCCTTACCTGAAGAATTACATCGGTTGTGTTTCAAGGCAAAGGAAACCAATTTGTATGCAATTTGATGTGTATGGTGCTTGCCAGAGAGACTACAAAAGCATATAACAATGTAACCTGGTTTGAAGGTTAATACCACCTTCTGTTACTCAAGTATTTATTTCCATAGCATCTAAAATTTCAGGACCACCATTCAACATTCCAATGCTTCATGAATTTACATGCATGAGTAGAGGAAGCACAACATGGTCTTCCTCAGAGTGAAGGGGCCTGGGAAAGTACATATTCCATCACTGTTTATCTATGGCAGATAGACATTTCATCATCATCACTGAACATTAAAGGCCGTTGCAGAAATGTGTTGAACCACAGGCATACTCCCTGACTCCCTCATGGCACTTTCTCAACGCTCAGGGGATATCTTGACATAAACACACAGAACTAGCAAAATTATTATCTGCCATCTCAAATAAATGTTTTCTCTTCTAACTGTTTATGGAAAAAAATGTTTAATACTGTTACAATACCTGAGCAGGGTTTCTTGTAATTTGGAACAGGTGCTGGCCTCACTGCAATCAAGTATCTTGGCTCTGCGTCTGGAAAGCATTAGGATGATCATTTGTAAAATCCAACAAACACAAGAGTGTACATTGCATTTTATTATTACCTATGGCAGGGATGGAGAACCGTATGTTGGACTTAAATTCCCATCAGTCCCAGTCAGTATGGTCAACAGTTGGTGATGATGAGAGCTGTAGAGGAACATCTCTGTTCCCGGTCTATGAGATGACAAAATTTTGATACGTTTTGAAAACAAAAACATACCTACTTATTGATTTGGATCCAAATGTGCCTTTCTCCAGTGGGAGGGCATGACTACTTATGCAAGGCATTTCCCTGCCTTCAATTCTGATTAATCCACTGCAGCCCCTTGCACTCCATCCTATACCACTCCACAGGGTCCTCTAACCACTAGGAGTTGACTTTTAGGGACATCGGGGGCTGCGAGGAGGAGGGGGGAGATGCAGGGAAAGCCCACTGCATGAGCAGAGTTTCACTGTGTTCCCTAGATCAACCTCATTATAAGCAGTCATGTCATTTTCCTGCAAGTAATAAAAGTATGAGGGAAAAAAGTTGAGGGTTAAGTAGGAATAGAAATACTTGAACTAACACAATAGTGATAGACAGTGATATCTCGGTTTTTGAACGCAATCCATTACAGAAGACCTGTTCGAGTTCTGAAACGTTTGAAAACCAAAAACTCAATAGCCAACAGCTAGGCCTCAGGATCTTGCACTAGCGGAAGCCGCATGGCATGTTCGACTTCTGAGGCATGTTCAAAAACTGAAGCATTTACCGAAATGTTCGTCAGTGGAGATGTTCGAAAACCGAGGTACCACTGTATACATTTTAAAGTAAGAAGAAATTTTTTAAGTAAGAAGAAAAAGAAGGAAAGAACATCTCAAGGGACAAGCTCTGAAAATATTAAAACAGGACAGTTGTGTTGGTTTAGAGATTTATGCCTTTGAATTAAGCAGCTACTGTCACATATAGCAAAGAACCAATTAACTATTATTTCAATTTTAAAGTGGATAAGCCAAAGTCTTAATAGTTTGGGGCAACATGGGAGGTGAATTTCTTGAGCTCATTCGAACTCACTCATCTGAAGCTCAGGGGACAGGGATGAGGACAGGACCCTCCCATGACACCTTAGCACGTGGGGCTTGAAGGTGCCAGCATGTATCAATCACTGCACCGAGAAGAGCTTGCATGTATCAATCAACTGCACCGAGAAGAGCTTGCTGTCAAAGTTGGGCTTTACTGGCAGTAAAATGATGCCTACAGCAAATAGTTACCCATACTGGAAGTTAGGATTTAACATTAATAGGCAGTAATTAATCTGCTGCAGTTCTTTGCCAACAAAGTATCTCACCTCTTTATTACCAAGTCTGCTACAAACACACTGGCCTAAAGAGTTTGACATGCTTAAGTCCATTTCAATGGGACCATGCCTAACTCTGTGTGGATTTGGTCTCTATAAAATGCTGCCCTTTGGGCTACTGACACATAAGGAAGCATGAAAAAAGCTAAATTTTAGAGTATTTTATAGATAGTATATAATTTAGCTGTGGAAATGCCATTTCTATAAAGATAAAGCTGTAAATCAGATAGCTAATAATTCTTTAGAAACAGTTGCAGATAAATTAGGCCACATGAGAATGTCAAAATACACACATACCAATATTTTTACAACTCTGTTACAATAGTAATAATTTGCATAAGCAGAGGATTCTTTTATAAACCTAACCACATTTTTTCCAGTGTCAGAATAAATTGCTGTCTGGGTGTATTTTCTGAGAACCAGCTTGCAATTGTTTCAGAAACATTGTTCTTTGTCGGAAACAATGAAATGAAGTAAACCAAAGCCAAACTCACTGATATTTTTACTCACTAGCTAACAAATTCTTAGTACATTTGATATGCTCTGGAAGAACACATGCTTTTGTGGTTAGAGGCCATAAGTTCACGTAAATGTTTCTAGTGAAAACCAGCTAACTTCATCCAAGAGTTGATCATAATAAACTGATTAAAACAATGCTTATGAGAGAAAAGCTTTTTTGTTGCAAAAATATAAGGTTTTTTTGTTTGCTTTTTGAATATATCTATTTCCTCCATTGATAAAAGGATCTTTCTGACCTTTTAAAATATTTAGTTGTGCAAATTCAAAATTATTTGGGCTAACCAAAGCCTTCAAGGTGTAAACATTTTAATCAGACTTTTAAAAATTGAATATAAAGAATACTATGATTCTATGACTACTGAATTTTAAAAGACTTGATTGTAACAAAACCTCAAAGAGATTTTAAAAAACAAAACAAAACATTAATTTTCAATAAAAGAAAGTTTTAAGCTGGTATCTATTCATTGATTAATGTTTTAGAAAAATGCAATCTGTGAAAAATCACAGATGTGGGCAGAGACTTAGCATGCAGGTCCAGTTTGCTCTCATGTAGGACTGGAGCTGAATACCAATTCTCTTTCTTCCTTTCTTGCAGAATGAGGAAGGGAGATGCTTCTCGCCCTATTGTTCTTGGGAAGCTCAGGGCTAACTCAGTTTCCCTCTTTTCCTTCTACTGGCAGGGAGGGGCCGTGCCCAGATGACCCTTGCCCTCCAGTACAGATTATGGGCATCTGTTTAGGTGGCAGAAAGAAGATTGTTGGCACTGTGAGGTGCCACATTCTTCTCCCTTCTCCCTCTCCTAGGTTAATAAATGCTACCTGCTAAAACTAATTGATTCTTTCTCCTTTGATAACCTCAATTCATCCTTTTGTCTCCATCAGAACCAATAAATTGTCATCATCATTATTATTTATTGAATTAAATACTGCCCTATTCCCACAGGTTTTAGGGCGGTTTACAGGACAAAACCGGAATGTAAAACCATTATCCAAGGCTTTCATTAGTAATATAAAATTATTTACACTGGCTTCATGTTTCACAACTCAAACCTTTAATTTCTGTTCTCTGATCTGCTGGTAACATCAATTGCTGCTTTCTTCATTGTTTTCATGCTCCTTTTCATTTTCAATATATCTTCCCCTTTACCTTTTAATACTTATATGGTGGTTTTTCTCTGTCTATCCTAATTTCTCATCATTCTCCTACCTATTCCCTTCAGTCTGTCAGTGACTTTTGTCCCAGTCCTATAATTCACTTTGATTCATGTTCACTCTTTTCTTGTGCTTCTCGGCGTCTTTTAAACTCTTTCCATTGTTACATTCACAGTGCTGCAGCTCTTTGTCCTTCTGAAATGATTATTACAAGCTGCAATTCAACATTTTTCCTTGCAGTTCCTTCTTGAAGTATTCTAGAAGATTGCAAGCTAATTTTTTAAACAACCCAGCTTCCATCCTTGTAACTAATCTTCACCATCTCTAAATTATATCACTTCATCTAGGTCTATTATTATTATTATTATTATTATTATTATTATTATTATTATTATTATTCTCCTTCTGAGTCTTGTTTTTATTATGCTGCAAACCTTTTTGCAGGAACTCTACTATTTTCACATTTTGTTCAGTATCTGTCCATAGTGTACTTTATGGAACAGCAGCAGAGAGATAAGTGAGCAATATTAGTGTTGTTGTTGTTGTTGTTTAGTCGTTTAGTCGTGTCTGACTCTTTGTGACCCCATGGAGCAGAGCACGCCAGGCACTCCTGTCTTCCACTGCCTCCCGCAGTTTGGTCAAACTCATGCCGGTAGCTTCGAGAACACTGTCCAACCATCTCGTCCTCTGTCGTCCCCTTCTCCTTGTGCCCTCCATCTTTCCCAACATCAGGGTCTTTTCCAGGGAGTCTTCTCTTCTCATGAGGTGGCCAAAGTATTGGAGCCTCAGCTTCATGATCTTGTCCTTCCAGTGAGTATTATTTGTATTATTATTAGTAGTAGTATTAGTGATAATATTAGTATTATCCAAGGGCAATGCTTGCATGTTGTTGAGGAGAAAGCATGTCAGCCAGCTAAGCTCAGGTGCTAATTCTCTGCTAGCAGAGGCGTAGGAAGGTCAGGTGGTACCCGGTGCGGAAAAATTCTTGTCACCCACATGGTTATGTTTTTTTGTTGTTTTTTTGTTATTTCCCCTGCAAAAATGGTTTTATGTTATTTCATATTTTCTTACAAAGAAATGTGGATTCTGAGCCTCTGATAACAAGCAGGCGACTACGGACAGATACTTAAATCCACAGGATGGATTGTGTTTTGGCTTGTGTTATTTTATTTATATTTATTGTTCATTTATTTAATAAAATTTATTTTAAAAAACCTGCAAAGTGGTTGACCAAAACAAAAAACAAAAGAAACCACAGCAGTAAAATAAAGAAAAATTAACATTCCTACTTTAAAACATACAAAAGCTAACATATTAAGATTAAAATTACTTCAACTTCCTAAGCATCTAGGTATGCTTGCCTAAAGAAGAATGCTGTTAGCGGGTGCCTGAAAAGAGTCTGGCAAAGGCACGTGCTTTGTTGAAATTTCAGCCTTCACGACATAGGAAAATGGCCACGTAAACAGCTATTTTTGTAGAGGAGGGTCAAGATATTAACTGATATGCATGAAATTTCATATGTAGCTATATAATCCCTAGTGTAGTAAGATAAGACCTTTGGAGCAGGCATTTAATTTTTCATATTTTTTTTATGAACTGCCCTAGTAGGGCAGTAATGCTTCCTTGATAATTTGTCACCCCCCTCCATGATGGCACCTGGGGCGGACAGCCCCCCTGGCCTGCCTTCCTACGCCCCTGTCTGCTAGCAGTGACTGTGGACATCTGTTAAGGAAAGAAGTTTCCCTAGAGAAGCCTCTCCGTCCCCAACCCAGCATAAGAGAACCTGCCAGTTTAAGAGATTCTTATGCAGAAATTCTTGCATGCAACAGCACACACACTGTTCCTCATAAGAATGGGTGGGTGCAAGCTATAAATTCATTCAGTGACCCAATTCTTCCTCTCTCTGTTTTTGTTTTTGAAGGGGTAAATGTTTTGATACACAAAAATCAATGATTATATATGCATATCAAACCATTAAGAGCTG